AGTACAAAGAGAACTACACCCTCACTGAATACCATAGTCTAAATGTTGAATGCCAAAGAAAAAGACAGACTCTTGAAATCAGCAAGAGAGGGAATTCCCTGGCAGTCCAGTGGGTAGGACTCCATGCTTTCACTGCCAAAGGCCTGGGTTCAATCCCTGGCCAGGGAACTAAGATCCTGCAAGCCGAGTGGCACAGCCAAAAAATAAAAAAAGAAGAAAGAAATCAGGGACTTCCCTGGTGGTGCAGTGGTTAAGCATCGCCTGCCAATGCAGGAGACAAGGGTTCCAGCCCTGGTCTGGGAAGGTCCTGCATGCCGCAGAGCAACTAAGCCTGTGCACCACAACTACTGAACCCACGCTCTGGAGCCCTCGAGCCACAACTACTGAGCCCATGTGCCACAACTACTGAAGCCCGCGTGCCTAGAGCCCGTGCTCTGCATCAAGCGAAGACACCACAATGAGAAGCCCACGTACCGCAACGAGAGTAGCCCCTGCTCACCGCAACTAGAGAAAGCCCATGTGCACCAACGAAGACCCAATGCAGCCCAAAATTAAAAAAATAAATTAACTTAAAAAAAAAAGAAAGAAATCAGCAAGAGATAATGAGTAACATATTCGAAATGCAGCAAAGAAACTGTCAACCAAGATTCTTACATCCAGCAAAACTTTATTTTTTTATCCTGGCTGCACAGCTTGTGGGATCTTAGTTCCCCAACCAGGGACTGAACCCCGGCCCTCAACAACAAGATCATGGAGTCCTGACCACTGGACAACCAGGGAATTCCTGCAAATTTTTTTTTAAAACAAGGGCAAAACAGAGACATTTCCAGAGGAAAAAGAACTGGGAGAATTTCTTGTTAGCAGACCCATCTTACAGGAAATACAAAAAATAAGTTCTTCATGATGAAAGAAAGAGACATCAGGCAATAATTATAATCCACTTGAGAAAAACAAAAAGTATAGGTAAAGGTAATTATGTAGGTAATTATAAAAGACAGGACATGTGTGGAGTTCTGCTTTCCTCTCTTAACTGATTAAATAATTAGGTTAATGTAAGTCTGGTAAGATGCATATCATAAGCCTTAGAGCAACCACCAAGAAAATAACATAATATAATGTGATATAATGTAGTATACACACACACACACACACACACACACACACATACATATGTATGTGTGCCTATATATATATTTAAGGCTCATTAAAGGAATTAAAATATTCCACTAGAAAATGTTCACTTAATACAAAAGAAAGCAGTAAAGAAGGAACGGTTGGGGGTTAGGGTAGACATGAGGTTAGAAAACAGAAACTGAACTGGCAGGTGTGAATCTAAACATATCACAATAACATTAAATGTGAATGAATTAAACAATCCAATCAAAGGGCAGAATTGCCAGAATGAGTTTTTTTAAATGATCCAGTATATGCTGTCCACGGGAGACATACTTTAGATTCAAAGATACAAAGAAGTCAAAAGTAAAGTGGAAAAAGATATACCATACAAACAGCAATCATAGGAGATCTTCAGTAGCTACACTACTATCAGAAAAAAATTGACTTTAAAACAAAAAAATCACTAGAAATGAAGGAAAATTTTATAATGATAAAAGGGCCAATCTATCAGTATGATAAAACAATAAACATATGCACCTAACAACAGTGCCCCAAAATATAAAAAGCAAAAACTGACAGAAGTGAAAAGAGAAACAAATAATCTAAAGGTAGTTGAAGATTTCAATACACACTTTTAGTAATGGACATAACAACTAGACAGAGGAAAGAGGGAAGAGGAGACCTGACCACACTACAAACCTAACAGTCACCCCTCCACCTCCACCTGACAACAGCAGAATATACATCATCCTGAAGTGCACATGGAACGTTCTCTAAGAGAGACCATCAGCCAGGCCATCAAACAAGCCTCAATTTTAAATGACTGGAATAGGGACTTCCCTGGTGGTGCAGTGGTTAAGAATCCGCCTGCCAATGCAGGGGACACAGGTTCGATCCCTGGTCCAGGAAGATCCCACATGCTGAGGAGCAACTAAGCCCATGTGCCACACCTACTGAGCCCATACTCTAGAGCCCGCAAGCCACAACTACTGAGCCTGCATGCCACAACTACTGAAGCCCACGTGTCTAGAGCCTGTGCTTCACAACAAGAGAAGCCACTGCAATGAGAAGCCCGCGTGCCGAAACAAGGAGTAGCCCACGCTCGCCCCTACTAGGGAAAGCCCGCAAGCAGCAACAAAGACCCAATGTGGCCAAAAATAAATAAATAAATACATTAATTTTTTTAAAATATAAAATAAAATAAAATGACTGGAATAATACAAAATATGTTCTCCAACTACAATGGAATTAAATTAAAAATCAATAACAGAAGGAAATTTGGGGGATTCACAAATATGTGGAAATTAAACAGCAAACTCAAAAATAACAAATGAGTCAAAGAAGAAATCCCGAAGGAAATTTAAAAATATTTTAAGACCAATGCAAACAAAAACACAACATACCAAAACTTATAGGATGCAGCTAATGCATTCCTTACAAGGAAATTATGGCTGTAAATGCTATATTTAAAAAGAAGATCAACTATACGTCAATTTAAAAAAAGAAGAAATATCTCATCAATAAATTAATTCTATCTTAAACTAAAAAAAAAAAAAAAAGCAAACTAAACCCAAAATAAGCAGAAGAAAAGAAATAATAAATACTAAAGTGGAAATAAATAGGGACTAGAAAAACAATAGAGAAAAATCAACAAAACCAAAAGCTGGCTCTTTGGAAAAAAAAAAAAAAAAAAACAATTAAATGGACAAACCTTGAGCCGGAAGAACCAAAACAAGGAGAGAGAAAGGGAGGGGAGTCAGATTACTAAAGTCAAGAAGTAAAGGAAGATCATCACCACCAACTTTACAGAAGTCAGAAAGATTATAAGGGAAAACCAAGAACAATTATATGCCAACAAATTAAATAACAGATTAAATGGACAAATTCCAAGGAAGAATTTCTATTGAAACTAACTCAGGAAGAAATAGAAAATCAGAATGGATCTACAACGAGAAAAAGACTGAATTAGTACTTTTAAAACTTCCCACAAAACGTCCAGGCCCAGAGAGTTTCACTGGATAATTGTACCAAACATTTAAAAGAATTGGTGAACTTGCAACAAGCAGTAAATAAGCCCCATCGATCTAATGCACAGTAGAGTGAATATAGACGACATTGTATTATAATCATCAAACTTGCTAAGAGACTAAAAGTAATTATTCCAACTACTAAAAAAAAAAAAGATAATTATGTAACATGATAGAGGTGTTCATTGTCACTCCATGGCTATCATATCACAGTATATACATGTATCAAATTAACATGTACACATTTAATTTACATAATGTTATATGTCAAATATATTTCCATTAAAACATTTTAATTAATAAGGAATTGATAGCAAAGTCTTAAAATTAAAAAAAATAGAAGAGGAAGGAACACTTCCCACTCCCACCTTACTTTACGAAAAGCCAGTTCCATCCTGATACTAAAACCAGTCATCACAAGAAGGAGGAAAGAAAGACCAACATTTCTTACGATATGGACACAAAAATCCTCCACCTAATACTAGCAAACAGAATCTAGCAACTTACAAAAAGGATTATACATCACGATCAGATGAGACTTATCCCGAGAATGCAAGGTTGGTTCAGCATACAAAAATCCATCAACGTAATACACTGTAAAAGCAGAATAAAGGACGAAACCACACGATCATCTCAACAGACACAAAAAGCATTTGACAAACTTAAATATCCTTTCATGATGAAAAAACTCAACAAACTCAGAATAGAAGGGCACTTGCTTAACCTAATAAAGGGCATCTCTGTAAAATCCATAGCTAACATCATACTTAATGGTCAAGGACCAAAATGCCCTCTCATTACAGTCAGGAACAAGAAAAGCACACCTGCTCTCCCACTTCTGGCCACAGGGCTATTAGGCAAGAAGAGACATGAAACGCCTCCAGATCGGAGAAGGAGGAGTAACACTACCTCTGTCTGCGGGTAACAGAATCTTGCCTATAGAAGAGCCTCAAATACCCACTAAAAAACGATTCGAATAAATGAGTTCTGCAAAGTTGCAGGACACAAGAGCAATGTGTGAAACTCAATTTTATTTCTACAAAGAAACAATGAGCAAACCAAAGTGAAATCAAGAAAACAATTCCATTTACCATAGAATCAAAAAGAATAAAATACTTTGGAATAAATTTAACAAAAGAATTCCAAAACTTGTGTTGTGATCATTTCTCTTTCTTTCTACCTCTCCATGCCCCTCCCCCCCACACACACACAGGAAATGGGCGGGTTTCTAGGAGCTCCTTCATGCTGGGAAACAGCAGGTGTGGTTGGTTAGCTGGCTGGAGCCTTGGCCACACTGGGTGGATGATGTGCGTGCAAGGTGAGGATGTGGCACAGATGCGAGCAGAGACAGAGACGGATGAGCTGCAGAGGAGGAAGCTCATGCAGCGTGGTACCTACCCAGACGTGACCACCTGCGGGGGCTCATGCAGCGTGGTACCTACCCAGACGTGACCGCCTGCGGCGGCTCATGCAGCGTGGTACCTACCCAGACGTGACCGCCTGCGGGGGCTCATGCAGCGTGGTACCTACCCAGACGTGACCGCCTGCGGGGGGGCGCTCATGCAGCGTGGTACCTACCCAGATGTGACCACCTTGGGGGGGGGCTCATGCAGTGTGGTACCTACCCAGATGTGACCGCCTGCGGGGGGCTCATGCAGCGTGGTACCTACCCAGATGTGACCACCTGGGGGGGCTCATGCAGCGTGGTACCTACCCAGATGTGACCGCCTGGGGGGGGGCGCTCATGCAGCGTGGTACCTACCCAGATGTGACCACCTTGGGGGGGGGCTCATGCAGTGTGGTACCTACCCAGATGTGACCACCTTGTGGGGGGGGCTCATGCAGTGTGGTACCTACCCAGATATGACCGCCTGGGGGGGGCTCTGGCTTCATCTTTATTATCTGCAGCTACATTTAAAGACAGAGAGAGAGAAAACAGGAAGGAAGAAGAGACAAAAACAGACTGGTTTTAACACTGGTAAGTCCTTGTTGTATTTCTTCAAAAACAAAAAAAACAAAAAAACAATGGAACAGGAAGACAGTAAGCTTTTGGTTTCTGTGCATTAGGAAATCCACTTTCTGAACCATTTTTCTCCAAACCTACCCTCCTCCAAGTAAGTGCTTGAGACAGAGGGAAACAAATGAAAAGCCACCTGATTTCCACTTAATTTCTAAGGTCAGAGGCGCTGACAGAGATACAGCAGACCCCACTTCTACTTTCCCCTGGGAACTCATCTGTACGCAAGCCCTGGTTGCAAGATAGTTGTCTCAGGGTCCAAACTCTCCGGAAGGTTGCTCAATAGAGCTGTTTTCAGAGGACACGCAACAGGACTCCCGCCGTAAGCGGAGAGCTAACTCAGCACGTGAACTTGACCGCCCTCGGTCATCACACCCAGTCAGCGAGCAGGTCTGGCAGCTGTCTCCGCTGTGGCCCAGGAAGGAGTACCTGACCCCGTGTGCAACAATTTGACTGCCAGGTACGTTGCCCCCCCGAGCACCCCACCCTACCTGAGACCTCCCTAGTCTGGGCCACCCTAGGACAATGACCGACTGACCTACCGACCAGAGGCCCTGAAGACAGAGCACCTCCAGCTGGGTTCCACCTGCAGGTGGGGCCTGGGATGGCCGGTAGTTAAAGAGAAGAGTCACTGAGGTCAGAAAGCAGAGGCAGGACCAAAGGTCGTGTGTCACCTGCCCCAGGCCATGTTCACTCTACCCCAAAATGGAAATTTTGCAAGTAATCAGCTAAAAGCAAACACCAGACTTGCTGCCTAGACCGGGAGGAGCTGGGGGGTCGGGGCAGGCGGAGTGGTTTATAAACCAACACAACTTGCAGTCTTCTCTCCTCACCCCACCTCTCTCCCCAACACCCACTCCTGGACCTTCTGGGTTCTGACCCCCCAGAGTTGGTCAGATTCTCTCAGCTTTTTGCTTCTATTTCTTTGATTCAGACCAATTTCACCATCCATGGGCAGCCCCTCTACAGATCAAAATCCCAAAAGAGGGAAGGGGGAGAGAGGGAGGCTGCAGGAGAGGGCGCGCAGCTCAGTCGCTTGTGCGTTTCAGACACGGTCTCCCTCCTCCTCTCCAGGCTTGATCACACTGAGCTGACAAGCAGAGCTTCACACAGGCAGAAGCACCGGGCATGGCTGGGAGACGCACAGGAGTGCGCGGGTGCAGAGCTGGGGGTCGGCGAGCAGAGGGCTGGGTAAGTTGGGTGGGAAGGTCACATCCCTGTGTACTGCGCCAAGCTACCTAAGGTTCCTTGGCTGGAAAGCAACATGATCAGATCTACGTTTTAGAAAAGACACCTTTGCATAGGACAGATGGAGGAAAGTGGGCTCTGAAGCTGAGAGACGCTAGAAATGTTTTCAACAATCATGTGCTTCCACAGAGCTGTACTGAGGACACACTCCAGGCGAGGCACGAAGGTTCCAAAACAACTGCACTGGGAACTTCCCTGGTGGTCCAGTGGTAAAGAATCCACCTTACAGTGCAGGGGACATGGTTTCAATCCCTGGTCAGGGAACTAAGATCCCACATGCCACAGGGCAACTAAGCCCACGTGCCACAGCTGGAGAGCCTGCGTGCTGCAAACTACAGAGCCCATAAGCCCTGGAGCCTGCGCGTCACAACTAGAGAAGAGAAAACCCGCACGCCACAACTAGAGAGAAGCCCACACACTGCAACGAAAGATCCCGCGTGCCTCAACGAAGATCCTGCGTGCTGCAACTAAGACCTGATGCAGCCAAAAATAAATAAATAATAACTGAATCTTTAAAAAAAAACACAACCACACTGTCCTCAGAACCTCCCCTCCCCCACCAGGAGGCGGGTCCTTGCCCCCTTGACTCTGGGTGGGCCTGAGACTGCAGGTCTTCAGAAGTGATGCTGTGTGAGTTCCAAGACTAGATCTTTAAAAAGATACAGCATCCACCCGGTTCTCCCCTTGAAACCCAGCGCCACCTTGTGAGGAAGCCCAGGCCACATGAGGAGGCCACGCAGGGATGTTCCAGCAGAGCCCGGCTAAGGTCCAGCCAACGGCCAGCACCAACCCAGACACATGAGAGAGGAGTGAAAGAGAGGGACACACAGAGAGAGACAGAGACAGAGGGAGAGACAGAGTAAGAGACAGAGAGCTAGACAGAGAAAGAGGGGGTAAGGGGGAGAGACAGTGAGAGGGAGAGACAGAGACAGAGAGAGAGAGAAAGGGGGGGACGGGAGAGAGTGAATGAGACAGTGAGAAAGGAGCTCAAGCAAACGGCCGAACTGTGGAGTCCGAAGCAAAAATGTCCTTTCACGTCATCAAGTTTTGGGGTCACTCGTGGAGCAGCCCCAGAGACAGGAACCAGAGATGACAAGGCAGAAGTTCCAGCAGAGCTGAGACGGGAGAGTCAGCCTCTGGTGGCCAGCAGGAGGCTGGGGGCTGGGCCAGAGGCAGGCCCTCAACTGCCCCAGGGGCTTTAGTCCTGTCACACCTTGAGACTCACTGCTGGGGGCACCTTGGAGAGACCGCGCAGGGCCAACGGTGCCTGCGTGTGGTGGAGGGGACGACGGCTACAGGGGGACCAGGGGACCTGGAGACCGGGAGGAGTATTATCACGATGGTCCAGGCAACTCGGGAACAGGAGACCCTGTGTCAGCTCCGGGGCAGCAGGCTGAACTGAAGCAGGATCGTAGCCTGATGTCCGAGGACACCACGGAGCCCTTGAAAATGCAGGATGGTCTGTGGATAAACATCTTCCTGGGGAAGGAGGTGTCCTCAGCTTTCAATCTCAGGATGGTACGTGACCCTCCCCGCCCAACGTGTTTTTACAGCTTTACTGAGCTATAACTACACACCATAAAAAAGCCACTCTCCCAGTGGTGTGTAGGATACTCACAGGTGTGTAGTGCAGCCACCACTGCTACGGTATTTTAGAACCTGCATCACCTCACAAGGAAACCTGTCCCCTTCAGCAGTCACCCCTCCCATCCACCTCCCCAGCCAATGCCACCCCAGTGCTGAGATGTGGGGCAAACCTCAGGTGAATTCATGCCTGCAGCCAGTTGGTGACACACCCATTGGGAGGCACTATTCTTAGAGACAGTACAACATGGGAATCTGGCGGGAGGAACGTGTGGCCCTGAGGACCCCCGAGGAAACAACTCAGCAGCCTCGCTGTCAGCCGGCCTCAGGACGGAAACTGGCCGGGAGCCATGAGGGAGGCGCCTAGTGGAGACGCAACGCCCTGTTATTCTTGGGTCCCTGGGCTGCAGCAGGAAGATCAGAGCCGACCAGGGCCCCGTGAAGGGCCCCAGACCAGGCTCCTCGGACACCTGGCTGACTGCAGGTCTGGGGCAGGAAACTGGACAGCAAGCTCAGAGCATCTTGTCGCACCAGTGTCCGGGGTCCACAGGACCAAAGGTCAACGATCAAGAGCCGGCAGCAGAGGCTCCCACTGGCCAGAGGTGGGTAAAGGGGCTTCCACCTCATGAAACACAGGATAACGTACAAACAAACGTGCTCATCGCTGCAAGATGCTGGGAACCAACTTTGAAAAGAGGCAAATACAGAGGAACAAGCAAGCCTTCACCCGCCTCCCTTTACAAATCAAACCATCGGAGACCAAGTAGCGTTTGTGGGGAAGTTTCTCTACAGAAGCTGAGACGGCGGAGCCTCGGGGCCGGTGGCCCGGGGCTGACTGTCAAGACTGGGCCCTGGGCCCCCGTGGCTGCCACCACCCAGAGGGGCCAGCTGACAGCCACACCTCCTAGAGGAAGGACGCAACAGTCCTGCAAAGACAAAGAGCCAGACCTGGGTCCAGTTATCTTTTAAAATGTTCTCTACAGGGCGTCCCAGACAGACCTGGCTCAGCAGCCTGATTCCGTCCAGATCCCGTGGGCCTGACTCTCTCTGGACACTGCTGCTGGTCTGCTGACCCTTTGCTGGGTGTGCAGCGCTCAGCTCACAGCAAACGACCCATTTCAACAACGGATAAGTTCCAAGGAGAAAGGGGAGTTAGGGAGAACCTATAGATTAAAAAGACAAATCAACAACAAAAAGACACCAGCCAATCACAGTATGTGCTGGATCCTGATTTAAAGAAACTGGCCAAAAAGTCAGGAAACGGACAAGACAGCTGGAAACTCACACACAGATGGTGGTTTCATGATAAGGAACCATTGATTTCTTATGGGTGACGATTTCTTTAGAGATATGTTACAGACTATCTATATATAAAGAGGCTACATCTGGGATTTGCTTCAGAAACTGCAGGAAAGATGTGAACGGGGTCTGGAGGTGGTCATGGTGCCACACGGAGCTCCGTTATGCTACTCTCCCTACTGCTACGTGTTTGAAATTCTCCACAATAAAAAGCGAAAAAGGAAAAACACAGCACCTTCGAGACAGACACCACACTTCACTCCTAGTTCACAGTTAAACAGCAGGCACATATTAGTGTCTCCAGCCAGTTTCTCCCTGAAACACGTGGTCTCGGTGGATGCCATTTCACCTGGGACAACCCGAGGAAGGGGACCCACACCCCTGGCCCTGCCCCCATTACACACAAGGGCATGGAAAAGCTGCCAGTGGAATGAGAGGTTTTAAAATGTTTGATGCTAATTTTGAAAATGATCCCAATTTTGTGATAGGAGACTAACAAAGAAAAAAGAAAAAAATGGAAAACTATACCAAACTGTTCAAAGTAGTCACCTCTGGGTGGTGGGACAGAAGGCTTTTTACTCTTACTGTATATCCTGTCTTCCCTAAAGTGTCTACAATGAGCACATGCTGCTCTTCAGATAACAAATTAGATATTTAATTTTCTAAGTAACCTGCTTTTTCTCCTCACCACCATCTGTGTTTCTTTAACCTTAACTTTCAAGTTGAATTAGTGACCTTCAAAACTGCAAACCTCTATAAAAGAGAGCTGGAAAACATTTAAGTTTTTTTTTAGGCTGCCTGGCCATCCTATGAGAACCGTGAAACAAAGCTCCCCAGACTCTCCTGGAGAGTTACTGTAATGTGCATGGTCAGTTCCCCAAGAAGTCTGTGTCGCGAGGCCTCGGCTGACACGTCCGGGAAGCGGAGGCCAGCCACCTGCCACGGAGGGTGGGCGGAGAGACGGGGGCCGTGGCACAGCGGCCCACGGGCTCTCAGAGCTTCCAGGCCCGAACCGCTTGGCTTTTTCACAGCCCACCCGCCTACTTCTGGCAAATGAGAGGAAATAAACCCACACATTCATTAAAAGCTTCCCATAGTGGGGTGGTGAGACCTGTGTCTCATAAACAGTAGACACGGAAACATGTAAACCGATCTGGATTCAAGTGTTGAATGCTCAGACTCTCAGCCGGTGTGGGCGGAGGTTAGGAGACGACTCTCCCTGAGGCCGCAGGGGACCCAGTGGGGGAGGGCTGGGGTCAGGAGGGGGCCCAGAGGTCAGGAGGCACAGCCCTCCCTCCACCAGAGCTGACGGCGTGCACCAGCAGACCGGCAATCACCATGAGCTGCTATCAAATGTCCAACGTTAAACTCTAAGTTTGCCGCGTGACCCAGAGGCCTCAACACCTGCTATATCTGGCACCCTCCGCCTTCACGACCCACGCACAGTTTCAAACAAGGTCACAAGCCTGGTCTCCCGCTGCAGAGCCTGAGGCGCAGGACCACTAAGCCACCAGGGCACCGGGTGTCCTCTCCAGGCCTTCCGCCCGCCCTGGGTGAAGACGCACACCACTGACCACCCCACACGGCCCACTCTGCACTCGGCTGTGAGATCCTGCACCCATTAAAGGGGAGGCTCAAAAGGGCACAGACCACAGAGGGCAGGGGCAGAAGCCGCTTGGGCAGAAAGCCCTCGACTCAGAGAAAGTTAAGAGCCAGCTCCTCAACTCATGAGGGTCCAGGATCCAGAAGCCCTGCTTTCTAGGCATGAGCAGCGGTACAACCGGCACCACCTCTGGTGTGATCTCCTGAGTCAGAGCTGGGAGGATGGCGTTAACAGGAGAGAAAAAGCAAAAACACACTGGAAACAGACAGTGGCAGGTGGTCCTCTTTATCATCTCAGTGACCCTAACTGATCCAGGCTCCTCATCAGAGCTGAGGCTGACCCATTTCTACAAAGACTGAAGTTAGCACACACTCACTCTCACTCTAGAAACAGAAGCTACACAAGAGGAGAGGGGTCGCTCAAAGGGAGAGAAAATAACCATCAAGGAAAACATAGCGGGGCAAGACCTCAAGTCTGCAGGAGCCCCAGAGCTGAACAAACTCCAGAGAAAACGCTTCTCTAAGCAGTGGATCGCACACACCCACATTCTCAGACAAAATCGAAGGGGAGAGCGGCCTTAGACTTAGTCGTTAGAAAAACCAGAAGTACGGCATCAACCCTCCTGCACAGAGCAGCCCACCAGCCCGCGCGGTCAAACACTGAACATCAGCTCGAAAGAAACATTTTCAAAGGAGAAGGCAAAGCCACCAGCAGCACCTTCTTAAGCCAGCAAAAAGCTGTGGGGGCTGAGCATGGGGTTCGCCTGCCCACCCGAGGCCCACAGAGCATGACGTCGGGTGAGTGTTAACAAGGTGTGTGAGAAAGATGCCGGTTGACTCAGCCACAGGGAACGGGAGAAACAGAGGCTGTGTTTGGTGCACAAGCCACACACAAGGTCAGAGATAAAACCGCCTCTGCAGGAAACATCTGGCTCCGGCCTGATCAGAAACAGACCAGCAGTGCCGCCCTCCTGCCCCAGCTGAGGGGCCCGTGTGACGACGGCCATGGCGAGGGACACGGTAAGAACAGGTCGTAACTCGCCCGAGTTCCAGTTTCACACGATACGGTGTCACTTGGCTGACTGCGAACACCGGTGTCGTGACAGACAATGCACCACCTGGCGAAGGCAGCGCTGCTGGGGTAGCACTGGGTGGAGGCCCCCCACCCCGAGAGCTCCAGCCAAGCCTTGCTTGTCGAGTTACTGGGCTTCATCCCCAAAGCTGCGGGTCACCAACCTGCAAAGACCCGGCGTTTCACGTTCAGCTCGTTGGCCACGCGGACCTCGGTGCAGAGCTTCAGCATCAACAGCATGGTCAGGATCATGACAACGCTCTGCCAGAGCAGCGGCGCCTCAAAGCGCCTCCCGAACCTGCGAGGGAAGGTGCCGCGGCATCAGGGGGGCGCCAGCCGGGCGCCCACGGTCACAGCCTGAGCAGCCCCAGGCGCTCACGCCGACGTGGCCCCGTGTGCCGCCGCCCAGGCCTCCAGACGCCACGGTGGCACGGAGCCGGGGTGCGGAGGGGCCGGGCGCCCCCCTGGACGGCCAGACCGGGCCTCCACCGCCCCCCAGAGCCGAGTCACGGGCAGGCTGCTCCACGTGCTGCAGGCCCCCCCGGGGAGCTGCTGCAACCCTCCCAGGGCCGAGGGCCGGTGGGAGTGGGTCTCCTGCACCCGCCCCCCCCACCCCCAGTCCGGCCAGCTGACCGTCGCCCTCCTGCAGAGGCCCAGCCGCCACCAGGTAAGAAGCCCAGGTTCTGGAACATCCGCCTCCCCAGGGCTCATTCCAGAGTCTGCAGACCGACGGCAGCCCTGGCCCCTGGCCGTGCGGAGTGGGGTCTGCAGGCCAGCATGGCCCCCAGTGTGAGCAGAGCAGTGGGGGCCCGGGCCACCCAGCCCTCACCAGAGAAGAGGAAACGGCAGGCAGGGCACGGTCCGCACTGCCAACCTCAGGCCCTGATGCCCGACCCAGGCCTGGCTGACCCACACAGACGCCTCCATGTCCACTCTCTTCTCCGAGCCCCAGCCCGCCCAGCCCTCCCAGCCACAGGCCCCAAGGCCTTCCTGCT